ACTGTTTTTGATAAAACCAGTATAGTTTTCAAGGTATATAATATCTCCATATCTCCATTCCCCTTATCAGGGAGAGTGTAGGTGTGGACTTCCAAGAAGAGTTATCAGACATGCTGCTGCTCAAGATGTTGCAGGCAGCCACCCGAGCATCGGCCGACAAAGACAGAGTGAGAGCTTAGCGAAACACAAACATTCAGATCTGTCTTGCCACATTTTGTTCTGCCACATAATTTTATAGTCTTTGATTGACTCTAACCTCTCTAAACTTGTTCCCTCGCCTCGAACCCCCACCCCTCCCCAGGTGAAGTCTAACGCAGTGCGTGCACTCGGGAATCTGCTTCATTTTCTGCGTCACAGTCAGCTGACCCGGTCTGCGTTCCAGCGCCCGCTGGAAGACGCAGTCCGTGCTCTGGTTAAAACTGTCCAATCAGAAGCCACTATGAAGGTCCGATGGAATGCTTGCTATGCATTGGGAAATGCTTTCAGAAACCCTGCCCTGCCGCTCGGTAAGTATTTATTGCCAGGGCATTTTCCCAGGTTTGGGTCAGAATGGGTTATCAGTCTGGCTCTGTGATCTTGCGTCCAATCAGAATTTAAAGGAATAGTTTGATATTTTGGGAAATGGACCTAATTGCTGCTATTGAATTGCTGAAACAATGGTTTAAAGTCTCTCTTTTTTTTTTTAATGCACTCCCCCTCAGTTTTACATCACATACGGGGTTTGTTAAGTGTACCCATCAGTGATTGATCTGAATTTTATTTTAATGTTGCTCTCTCTTCAAACTTGACCGTTCATTTCTCTTTCTTTTTTTTTTTTTAATTTCCCATCAGACTCGGCCCCGTGGTCTAGCGACGCGTTCTCCTCCCTCTGCCATGTCGTCACTTCCTGTAAGAACTTCAAGGTGCGGATCAAGTCTGCCGCTGCCCTGGCAGTCCCCGCCCACCGCGGCTGCTACGGGGACACGAAGCGCTTCAGCTGTGTGTGGCGTTCCCTGGCCACGGCCCTGGAGAACAGCGAAGACACAAACGACTTCTTAGAGTACCGCTACAGTGCCAGCCTGCGACACACACTCTCACAAGCTCTCCTACACCTGCTCAGCGTCAGCCAGTCACAGGACATGCCTGCACTCGGGGCATCGCTGGCTGGGGAGGAGGGGAGGGGCATCAAAGAGCATTTGATCAAATATCTCAGAGCAGAGGATGGAGGAGGAGAGGGGGCACAGGGAGAGAAAGACACAGGGGGGGATGGTTTCACCCCTCAGCAGAGAATCGGAGGTCTGCAGCAGACCCTGATCAGACTGAAGGTGTTGAAGGCTGAAGAGGAGGGACGGGGAGAGGAGGAGAGGGGAAAAGAGGTGGTGGTGGTAGTGGTTAATTTCCTGGAGGATTTGTTAAGGACCTGTGAAGAGCTGTAAGGAGTCTCTTTCCAGCTGCAGCGGTGGCTTTCAGAAAACTAAGATCACACTGGTCTTTAAGGTTGAACAGATCAGCGCGAGCAGACAGTCGGAGAAGAAACATCCAACCACAAACTAACTGATGACCAGCGGCAAAGATTCTGTAACCAGCTTTGCCATAATGTAATCTAAGGACATCACAAGGAACCACAAGACTGCCTTGAAATTCTCAAGGCAGTCTAGGATTATGTACATTAATACGTTTTGAAGCTGGCAGTGCTTTTTTATATCTTTTTATCTGTTTAATTACACTTGCACTCTTCTATGGATTAACTTGTGATAAACAATGACATGTAGGGAAATTACATTTTGAGAACAAATGTATAGACCAACCAAATTAATATTAGAGCTGGTTACACAATATGAATTCACTGAACAGTCATTAAATGATAAATTATTCATTTAATGACTGTTCAGTGAATTCATATTGTGTTGACATCAACATATTGTATCATTGTTTAACAAATTTAAGTTAATTATTTATTGTTTTGTGGAGAGTTATGTCTGAGGTGATGCATAACAGTGGAACATGGTTGATTGCATTGTACATGAATTTGATTGTTTTATTTGTCATTTACAAAAATCTGCCATATCGAGACATATGTTGATGTTTGAAAAATATTTTTTAAAACATTACAGTGATATTGCCCAGCCATAATTCAGATTATGAGGTACACTACTTTGTCTGTGTCAACACAGCAATAATGACGCTGACTGGACTGACAAACAGGACATCTGCACAGTGTGGTAGATGTTCAAAACAATAAATACAGTAATTTCCCACAGCCTGGTTTCAGAGTTACTGTCTAGCAACATGCTGTTATCCTGAAGTTGACCTTAGATTTATAGCACTGATTTTGAGCAGTGTTTTATTTCTGTTTCACATGCAAACATTATGTTAACAGTCACTGTAGTGAGATAAATGTCAAGGAATAAAAAGTACAGTATTTCCATCTGAATTATCAGAAATATAAACACTCAAACACCAGTGACTGAAAAGATTACGTTAGTTGCAAGGCGGCTGGATTACCAAGTGGGCAACAGCCTTGGGTTAAAATAGTCCAAACAGTTTTTAGAACCAAAATCTGAAGTAGATGCCGCCATAAATGGGATTTTACCAGTAGTTTACAGTGGATTTGCAGTATTTGATGTGGTGACAAGGAAGTGTAAGAGACTGACAAGATGTTTCAGCTCTAACAGTTTTAACAAAATATATAATTGCAGCGATGAGTTCTTACTAGGTTCCCAATATAAAGCATATATGAGGATAATATATAGGACTTAGAATTATTATTACTAAATGTTTTCAGTTACATTTACCATTTGAATGCGCTGGTGGTCTGATTGTGTGTGTGATATATCATGGATGTAACAGTTGCACAAGCAACACAATCGTTTTCTTAAGTAAAAGTAGCAATACTACAGTGCAGAAATACAAGTAAAGGTCCTCAAAAAATACTTACACTACTAAATAAGTATTCATTTAGCAGAATGGCCCATTTCAGTGTTTATTATATTACTGGATTATACGTAATTATTGATCAGCAGATTGCAGCTGGTATAGGTGGGGCTAACCCTATTATTATATATATATGTGTGTGTATATACATATATATATATATGTGTATATATGTGTGTGTGTGTATATATATGTGTATATATGTGTGTGTGTGTATATATATGTGTATATATATATATATATATATGTGTATACATGTGTGTGTGTGTGTATATATATATATATATACACACACACACACATTATATACTGCTGGGTAGCTTGTGAATCCTCCCCTGTGGCTCAATAAAAGTCTTATTTATATAACAATATCCTTTATTTGTTGATTACATTTAGTATTATTGATCTGAATCTGTAAAGTAACTATTCTAAAGTCATAAAATAATGGAGTAAAATGCATTTCTCTCTGAAATGTATCCTGCTGGGATCCCTGATAGGGATATGTCCTAACATCCATACTAAATTTGACCTTTGAGTGAAGTACCTGAGTACATTTACAGGTGCTGGTCATATAATTAGAATATCATCAAAAAGTTGATTTATTTCAGTAATTCCATTCAAAAAGTGAAACTTGTATAATGTATACATTCATTCCACACAGACTGATATATTTCAAGTGTTCATTCCTTTTAATTTTGATGATGTACTTCCACCACTGGAAAAAACTGGAATGTCATGTCTTTTTTTGTTGTTGTCAACAACGCGCTTGTGGGTGTTGGATACAGCCAACAGGGGGCACCAGAGTTAAGGGAGGAGGGGAAGAGCCGCCGGTGGATGGTCCGGATTTTGATTAGTGATGCCTTGATGCGCACAGACCACGCTGCTGTAGGTATGGATGCCTTCGAGTTGTTTCGGAAACTCGGAGCAGGAGCTAAATTTGACCTGAAGAGGTTTGGTCAAGACGCTTCCCGGTTTAAGGTAAACATAACGTGTAGCTGATGATAAAGTGGACACAAACAGCAAGTGATAACGGCAGCACGAGCCACCGCTTATCTATTTTGGCTAACCCCGATTTGTGTTAGCGTGAAACTGTGATGCAATGATTGTTTCTAGGAGATTTTGGGGAGTTCAGCGCCTTAATATCGCTTTTCATTAGATGACTGGTAGAGCAATAAGTATTTTAAACTGATAGTTACTATTCTCCTATCCTATTTCACAGGTTGCCAGGTCTCAGGAAGAGAAAGCGTCCTCAGATCGTCTCCCTGTGATCGATTACTTTGGCACAGGACCAACCAATGGAGCCCAGAACAGCTACGTAGGACAGGAGGAGGAGGAGGAGGAGAAAGGAGAGAAGTATGAGGTGGAGTATTGTGGCGCAGGAGGCAAAAGAAAGCAAAAGGATGAAGAGAGAGACGTGAGGACAAAAAAGAAAAAGACGAAAAAAAACCAGGTGGAAGGTAAAGGATCTGGATGTTTGCTGCTCACCTGTAAGGCATATCCAACTGATTGGCAGCTGACTGAGGTTATTTCCAGATGTTTTGAAGTTTCCCGCCATTTGGATATCTGTGACCTGTGTGATACATTTAAAAAAAAAATTAACTAACAAGACATCAACTTTCTGTAGGTCTGTATCAGACACAGAAAACATGTCATTGACAACATCTACATTGACATAGTCTATGTCCATGACCATCAATCACCAATAGTAGTTGTTTATTAATAAAAACCATTCACTCTGTCCAACTTAAAAAAACAAAAGTTTTATCTTTGTGAAGTATCATTGTGAATTGTATAATAAGGTGATGTTGTTTCTGCATTATATGTGGTTTTATGAATGTCAGCTCTTATTAATATTGCTATTTCAGGTGTGTGTAATGTTGCAGATCAATGAGCAGCACTACTTTATGACAATGCTAGTTTTGTCTTACTATTTTATCCCTAAACTGCTTCTCAATTGAATTTCCAGAAAACACATTATATGAAAATATATTAATATTGTAATACAAACTTACATATACTATAGTTTTATCCATTTAAAATTAATGTGATGCAGCCGTCCATGTGAGACTCACTGCTGTTCGCTGTCTTCTGTCTGACTGAAGCTGGTGGCATACCTCTGAAAGACGTAGAGGGAAACGGCATCACCTGGACCTCCTCATTGGACAGAAAGATCCAAAACCTGCCGAGTGATGGGAAGGAGAAATCCACACTGAAGAGGCTGAAGCATCTTCATCAGGAAAAGGTCCTCAGAGATGCACAACCTCCTAGCACACACAAAAATTGCTAAAGGGATTTCATCTGATTCTGACAGATGTTAAAATTATACTTACCACTGAAATTATGTAAAATCCCTTTATTTTCATTTAAGGTGAATCGTATTCGCTCTCAACACCGTATAAATGTGCATGGCTGCGATGTACCCGACCCAGTGTGCACGTTTGAGGAGCTGCAGTCCGAGTATCGTCTCAACCAGCGCGTCATTCAAAACCTCAAAGACGCAGGGCTGAACTCTCCGACACCAGTACAGATGCAGGCGATCCCGCTCATGATGCATGTGAGTACAGAAACACACACACATTCAGTGGTTGTCAAACAGCGTCCAGACAGTGTTTTTGTGATGCTCTCCGTGTGACTGGTTTCTCTGTCAGGGCCGGGAGCTCCTGGCCTGCGCTCCCACAGGATCAGGAAAGACTTTGGCTTTCTGTCTCCCGCTGCTCGCCCACCTGCAGCAGCCGGCCAACCTGGGCTTCAGAGCTGTGATCATCTCCCCGACCAGAGAACTGGCCAGTCAGGTACACGACACACGCACACACACACACACGGGCCTGTTTGCTATAATGGCCATTTTTATTAGCAGTTGAGGTGAGGTTTTTTTATTAAAAGGTTTAGGTTAGTTTTTTATTGTGTTATGGAATGTTTTTAAAGCAGTATTAATTGATTTTTTGCAAATGAACCGATTGGCTGTGCTTATTACAGTTAGGGCTTGGCAATATAGCCAAAAATGTTATCACGATAAAAGAAAAATTGATACTATCCGATATCGACAATTGTCATGTTAAATGTCAAATTATTATTTCCTTTAAGTTTAAAGGCAGATTTTTGCTCCTGAGTGAAAACTGAAGAAACCAGATGGTTAATTGTGTGGTTAAACTTTTCTTTATGGTCAGAACGTGACAAACACTTAATGCCAAACAGTGGATCACTTCACAAATCTGAGGTAGAACATTCAAAACTATTATGATAGCATGTTTTTTCAAAAGAATATGATTAGTAAATCTTTTTTCAGTCCCTTTTCCTCAACAAAAGAAATATCTTAATAGAAAAATTAAGTGCTAGTTCCTTCATGATTCAAATTAATTAAATCAAACTTTTATTGACTATATATTGAACATTTGTTATATTGTTATTGAGGAAAATTATATTGCGATAACTATCATTATTGTTTTACTGCCCAGCCCTAATTACAGTCCTGCGGCACAGCCACAGATACCGGATATCTTTGATATTTGTGTCAGAACATCAGAAAATATAACAAAATATGCTTCTGAAATAAATTGCCTACCCTAGCTTTATCATTACAAATCAATTACTAAGTCACATTTCTCCAAGAGTGCTTTTGAAATACTTGAGAATGTCTTTCAGAAAAAGGGTAAATTCCAGTTTCACTGTCCATTTTCAAGCAGTGCAATTTTTTTTAATATCATGATAGACGGCATATTTATTGATGTCAACGAAGGAGACTTGAAGACACGAGCTTCCAGGTTTTAATCCCTATGGAATACAGTTGGAGTATCAGCTACTGCTTAAGTGATGTATTTCTGTTTTGTGTTTAGACCTACAGAGAGCTGCTCCGCCTGTCAGAGGGAGTAGGATTTAGAGTTCACATCATAGACAAAGCCTCCCTGGCAGCCAAGAAATATGGACCACAGTCGAACAAAAAATATGGTAAGAAATGGAAAATGTGTTCACTGGAGAGTAGAATATAAATTTGAAATATGAATTGCCTTTACCTTTTCTCTGTGCAGATATCCTCGTCAGTACTCCAAACAGACTCGTCTTCCTTCTCAAGCAGGATCCTCCAGCTCTTGACCTCAGCAGGTAAGACTGAATCTGTTGCTCTCTGAAATTTCTTTTTCTCAAAGGCGCCCTGTGAAGTTTTGTAAACAATTACAGGTTGTTTTATATATTTTTTTATCCTGCATTATTCACATCCAGTCTCATTCATTACATGGCTTGACTGAGCCAAACATTCATCATCCTGAACTGGTATCGGGTAGCTTGTTATCAGCTGGCTCTGTTAACTCTGGGTTTTCCATGGTTAAAAGTATGCCAGCTTTGTGATACGTGAAAAGCTCAAAGGTAGCTGGCTAACCCATTAATCTGGCTTGGTGGTACAGGACGAGACCGCCCTTGTGGTTGAGACTCATACCATATAACCACAGCCACTGTTTGATTCTGGCCGGGGACATTTTGTTGCACGTCATACTCCTGTCTCCTCTTGTTTCTTTCTGTCTCCATTGTCGACTGTTAAATAAAAGCAAAAATAACACAAATAAAACCGAGAGATTGATTGTCGTCTTCTGTCGGTGTTCAGTGTGGAGTGGCTGGTTGTCGATGAGTCCGATAAGCTGTTTGAGGGCGGTAAGACGGGCTTCAGGGAGCAGCTCGCCACAGTTTTTCTGGCTTGCTCTGGTTCAAAGGTGCGCAGGGCGTTCTTCAGCGCCACCTGCACATCAGATGTGGAACAGTGGTGCCGTCTGAACCTTGACAACCTGGTGTCTGTCAACATTGGACACAGGTAATAATCTACTTGTAAAACTCCTTACTTTGGTGGATTTATTTTGTCTTGTTCTTGAAAAACAAACAAAGAAAAGTGAATATATCATCTTCTCAGGAATGCGGCAGTTGAAACGGTGGACCAGGAGCTGCTGTTTGTTGGGACAGAGAACGGCAAACTGGTGGCCATGAGGGACATTATCAAAAAAGTAAGGAAACTCCAGACAGGCAACCTCTCAAGCTTGTAAAAAATGAACTGTGTTTAATTATTTTCTTAACTAGATCATCCTGCAACCATGGTTTTTTTTGCCTTAACAAAGTTTGAATATGATAAACCGATTAACACAGTCACAGTAATAAAGAAGACATAAAATAACTTGTGGATGAATATAAGCTATAAGAATATAAGCCCTAAGAATGAATGAAAGGCTGACCCCTTTGCCATTTTCAGGGTTTCCTGCCTCCCATGCTGGTGTTTGTGCAGTCTATAGAACGAGCACGGGAGCTTTTCCATGAGTTGGTGTATGAAGGTATCAATGTAGACGTGATCCACGCAGACCGCACACAGCAGCAGGTACACACCGGCAGCACACTGTGTTATGGTTCCTTCCTGAAGTGCAACATTGTATTTATCCTTTTCCTCTGTGGCTTTTCAAATTCAGAGGGATAACGTAGTCAACAGTTTTCGCTCCGGTAAGATTTGGGTATTGATCTGCACAGCTCTGCTAGCCAGAGGAATCGACTTCAAAGGAGTCAACCTTGTACTGAACTATGACTTCCCCACCAGCTCTGTGGAGTACATCCACCGAATTGGTTCGTTTTTACATATAGTCAATGTTGTCATATTTCACATCTTTTTCTCCCTGTCTGCTCATCAGTTCCCTAATTTATCATCCTGTTTGCTGTGCCTCAGGTCGGACTGGTAGGGCCGGACATCAGGGGAAGGCCATCACCTTCTTCACAGAAAATGACAAGCCACTGCTCCGCAGGTACGTGGATACATGAACCTTAATGACTTTCTTTGCAGATAGTTATGTACAGCTTGTTTTTGTTTGAACAATTCTGGGAGAGTAGTTTGTTTATATGAAGGTCCAGCTGTGGTCATCAAACAGAAAATATAAGGTGAAGCATGTTTAAGGTTGTTGACATCCCACATACCTGCAGCATCCACGCTTTGAACCTTGCTTGTTTCCTGGACGTCTCTGCTGTCAACTTTCTAAAAAGAAAACAATTTGTCTGAAGCACAGTACAATGTCTTGGGCTATATGTGTTAGTTTTGGTTCACTTTTTTCCCTAACCATGTTGCATGTATTTTAAACGAGACATCCCTTTACCTATGTTTTTCTGTGATATGTTCTACAATTTACCCATTTTCTCTAAGTATATTTCTCTTTGCATCTCTTTCTAACAGTATCGCTAATGTCATAAAACAAGCTGGCTGTCCTGTACCCGACTACATGACTGGCTTCAAGAAGATACACAGGTAAAGAAGATGGATGATGATAATGAAGTTCCACAGTAATCAATGCATTTAAATACATGTTCGCTCTTTTATTTCTTGTCAAGTTGATCAGTTTTGGTTATATGGTTTTAACAGTCCATCTGTATTTGTTTGTGTTTAGTAAAGTGAAGCGGAGACTTGAGAAGAAGCCTCCCGTGAGAAGCACCATTTGTACAACTCCTCGCTTCCTAATGAAGAAAAAAGCCAAAGGACCAAATAAAGGACAGAAAGGAGAGAAGCAGGCAGTGGGTGGAGAGCAGAAAGGAGAAAGTGGATCTCAAACAGCAGTGCAGCAGCAGAAAGGAGAGAAGAAGACAAAAGGACCGAGGATGAAGAGAAGAAATAAAACACAGAAAGAAGGGGGAACAGAAAAACACAAGAAGGCGTCTCAGAAGATGGGCTCAAATTACTCTGGAGCAAAGTTAAAAAAGTAAGGGGTGTGTGTGTGTGTGTGTGTGTGTGTGTGTGTGTGTGTGTGTGTGTGTGTGTGTGTGTGTGTGTGTGTGTGTGTGTGTGTGTGTGTGTGTGTGTGTGTGTGTGTGTGTGTGTGTGTGTGTGTGTGTGTGTGTGTGTGGCTGGGGTTGTCCTCATAATGGATAGACTTTCCTGTACAATTAGTTTCCAAAGTGTATGACAACTGTTTTTGTTTTTTTTTCCTCCCTTATGTGTTTTTGGCACAATACAACAAAAATAAATTATTCTTAATGCCACAATGTGTAAATTATTATTGAAACATGTCTGACTTTGGCGCACTGGAGTGATAGATTTAAAAGACATTAGATAGTTGGTAAAGCATGCTAAATGAGCTAAGTTTCACCCTAATTGTCTTTTTCTACAAATAAACATATATGCCATCTGAAATTTGAAAGATGCTATAATAATAATAAATAAATTGTTATTTTTAAGTCATGTTAAAACATTGATTAATGGATTTCAAGTAGACAGTACTTTTCAACCTGTAAATTAGACCTCAAATTAACAAATTGGATGAATTCATTTTGGGATAAAAAGGTTTAAGATGTGGCACAAGTTGAGGATGTTGGTCAATTTTTTTTTCCAACTCTCTCCTCCAGGAAAAAGGGGAAGAAAAATAAGCCGCAAGAGGAATAGAGGAGAGCTGTATGAACAGACTGCTATGAAGATCGACGTGGATATTGTTTTACATCTTGCAGTCTGACTTACTGCTAATTTTCACATTTTTGGTATGTGTTATGGTATAAAATAAACAGTTTTATATTATTTGTTTCTATTTCTGTTACATTTGCTCATCTGCAACACATGAGATTGACAGAATATATTTTCACATTTCAACATTCTTCAAGAAAAATAAAGTTGTAATGAGTGATTTGAATGATTTTGTTGAATTAACAAGTTAATAAAACTAATTGAAGGCAGTTGTGTGAAAGATGGGGAGACAAGTTCCCTTAAGATTTTTAATACATGATTAATTACTTAGCCTTAATCCACTACACCTGATTATACTAATATTCAGACTCTATAGAAAGGATAAATTCTACTTTACATGTTGGCTTAATAGAAGTTGTAACTCACTGACAGCTGCATTTAAAGGGTCATGTAGCAAAGTCCTACTTTTTAGTTTTACTACAGCACAGGGAAGATAAATTATATATTTCCTATGGCAAAGTGGTACATTGTTACGGCTCATTTAGGGAATTGTGGGAAAAGGAAAAACTTTTTAGCTTAAGGGCAACAAAGGTTGTCTGAACCTAGCAGCAGAAGCAAACTCCATTTTAAACAATTTACATTTAATGCTGTTCATTATAGTTTAGTCATATAATAATGTTTATAGCTCATGATGATTCACTTTTTCAAAATGGTGAAAAAAACATGGCAATCTGAAGTGAAGAAAGCTAACCTGTACGTAGCAAGTTAATGTTAGCAAGATTGGCAAGCTATTTTTCACGAAACTAAAAAAATAATACAAAACAAATACATTGTGTGCATATCTAAGTACTATATCTAACAAATAATTATAAGCTTTAATTAATTTTTAACATTACTAAATGTGGTGCTATATATAAATAGTTGCAGATCAAGTGCAATTTTCAACCAAAACAAAACAAATATCACAGAGAGTGTGTTGTCGTCCTCACCTACAGCTTGGGAGCATTTCAGCTTTCTTAACTATCGCGATACATCGGCTGTGAGATCTCGCCCATGCATTATACTGCAGGAAACCCCGGTCAGTCTTCCTTTCTTAACATGGCACCGAAGGCGAAGAAGGAAGGTTAGTTAGTCTGATGATTTTGTATGAATAACTCGTTGAATTTAGATAGATCACGCTTCCAAGGTTAGGTATTTATGTGCGAAATGTTAGACTAAATGGCCAGTGGTTTAAATAATCTAGGATATTGCTGCCAATTGTCTAAATACGAAGATAACGCACACTGTCCCCGGCACGCTGGAACGTGATGCTAAGCTAATATTAGCATGTTAGCGTTGGCACTGTTGATCAAAACGCGGTCTAGTAACAGCTATGAACCTGTCCTGTCCTTCCTACACAGTGTAATATGGACATGTCCTACCTAGTTGACGTTAATAGGTACGATTTAACAAGTTAATGGGTTAGCTGCTATGTGACGTTAGCACTGTGAACACCGGAGCGGTGTTTGAAACGTTGCATAAGCTACACGTGAAAGTTGGTGTTAATGTTAATAGAAAACTAAAGAAAATGTCGGAAACGTTGGCCATTTTGTTGGTTGTACATAACGAAGTCTATAACTTGATTGTCTTTAGGGATGTTTGGTACTACCATGCTAGTCATGTGTCAGGAGTGAGTGTAGGTTTTCCCATGCTGTGGTTTATTGGTATAGAGTAACGTTGAATGCACACTTAGTATTTCCAAATGCAGAATAAGCTATATGTATGGAAACGTGTGTATTTTAATTTGTCATTTGTCCTGGAAAATGTGCTTAAGTGGTACTAATGATCCCTTTTGAGGTAGACTGATGTCAACTGTAACTTGTGTAAGCATGTCAACGTAAATGTAGCTTTTCCAGACCAGAATTTAAAGCTAAATAACGCTATCAAAGTTATAAACCTGATCTAAGGGATCATTGTACTGAATAAACTTATGTTCAACATGTCAAATATTTGAAGTAGAAAGGGATTTAATGGTGTTGTTTTGAAACGTTCCCCAAAGCGGCTCCTTACTAAGTTACTAACTGGAGGAGCATGAACATCTGATGGTCTAACAAGTAATATTTCTCTATCTTAGCTGTCCCTGCCAAGACTGAGGCCAAGTCAAAGGCCCTGAAGGCCAAAAAGGCTGTGCTGAAAGGTGTTCACAGCCAGAGGAAGAAGAAAATGAGGACTTCTCCCACCTTCCGTCGCCCTAAAACCCTGCGTCTCCGCAGGCAGCCCAAGTATCCTCGCAAGAGTGCTCCTCGCAGGAACAAGTGAGTTACAGCGACGGCACGCTGCTTATAAAATTAATTAGAAAGGATTAAATCTGGTGCATATGATGGTAAATAGCGATCAAAGTATGAAAAGCATGATTCCAGCTTTATAAATTACTGATGCACCAAATGTAAACAATTGTTTGTAGTGAAGAACAATGAACAGACGTGTTTGTCAGGTAATATATATTTTGGCTTAATGTGTCTGTGTTTTTTCCCCCTCCCCTTGTAGGTTGGATCATTATGCCATCATCAAGTTCCCCTTGACAACAGAGTCCGCCATGAAGAAGATTGAGGACAACAACACACTTGTGTTTATTGTGGACGTCAAGGCAAACAAACACCAGATCAAACACGCTGTCAAGAAGCTGTACGACATCGACGTCGCCAAAGTCAACACGCTGATCAGGTAGAAATCGTCTTCCAGGCTGGGCAGAGTGCCACTTTCTAGTTGTCCTGTTGGAACCTGCATTGCATGGCTGAGACTACTTTATGCACTCCCTTTTTAAAATACCGTTCATAACAGTGATATTGGCTCACTGCAATCACATCTTTTGGACTCTTAATGGGCACAGTAGTAGTTTGCAGGACTTAACATACCTGTACAGAAAATACATCTGGTGTTAAGTTAATAGGTCCTCAAACGGCATTCGAGTCTCCATTGTAAATATAAACTTAATAGCGCAGTTTTACTTGCTACCTTTTTTATTGCTTTATCTTGCATGTTTTTCTTCTGACCCGTGTTAAGGCCTGACGGTGAGAAGAAGGCGTACGTTCGTCTCGCACCAGATTACGACGCGTTGGATGTTGCAAACAAGGTGAGTCTTTTGTGTTTCGTCTTAAAGGCTAATCCAGTTAACATAATGGTTGTATTTGCGTTTAGAAGCTCAGTCCTGTGCAAGTGATGTAAACTTTTATTCAATCTGAATGTCTATGATGCATTCAAAGGAACCACTGATGCCAGACAGTGCTGGTACTCATGTATTCACTCTGTTGATGAACATGTGTAATTCATTTCCTCTTCATCTTTACAGATTGGCATCATCTAAACTGTGGCAGAAGAGACTTGTGGAAGAATAAATATTTGTATAAACTAAATCTGATTGGTGTGAGTTGTCTTTACACATGAATACATACAGTAAATTAGAGATTACACATGCTTTTACGACTGATGCCTGTGTTTTTTTTGTTTTTTTTAAAGGAGAGGCTCACCTTCTCAAAGTAAAAATGGGTGCAACATCCTCCAAGAACCTTTTTTCTAAAAGTAATTCATTCAGACTGTATGTTTGACAGAATTGTTTTAAAACATCAATTTCTCCTCCCAAAAGGTGTTTGCCAGAACGCATCAGGGCATCCAGTGAGATTGAGAAGCTGACTGGATAAGCTTAATAACCTTGAGTGTTAATGTATTGAGTTGGACAAGACCTGTTTTTGGTCTTTGAACATGCAGGTTTAAAACTTTTACTTTAAGAGTTTTGTACAAAACAAATCAGGCATCCGTCTTGTTTGTAGATAACAATGTACATAAACTGGAATCAAGCTTGAATTTTGTCAGTTTGACAAATGGAGGTCTGCTTTTCCCGTTATGAGTAGCAATTATTTAGACAGCTGATTTCTTGAACTATTTGTGCTGAATGGTTGGCCACCAAATGTTCTGGTGACCTGTAGAAGCTTGTAAGTTTAAATGTCTTCACTGCTAATTGTGTAATGTTGGCATCTTGTGAGAAGGAATAGCCTTGCTGTTAAAAGTTCCTATAGCAGGTAGATGTGCTTGCAGAACTGGAACTTGTATGGTAATAGTAGGTAACTGGTACATTAGACTTGATGGAAAAAGCATGCTTGGTGGCAGAAATGGAGCACATGCTGGTACAAAGTTTATTCATCGGTTTTTACATTCACTGAATAGTGTAGAACATTTGACAGTTGCCATAGTCTGGTGTGAAGACTGGGAAAATGCAGTAGTATCACCAAATGTCACTGGCGAGACAGAAAGGACTACAATTTAACTTGCGTTAAACTTTATGAAGGTTTTAACTTTAATATTTCCATGTTTTCTGTAAAATACAATGCTGTTGACTGAAGATGGAGGCTGTACAGCAATTCACTAGTTACTTTCAGTTTGATGCTTGTTTGACTTCATAGGTTTTATACAGGAAAATGAGAACGCCTTACATTTAGTTACTATTGAATGATTAGGATTTTAATACGAGTCAGGATATGTAAAAGACAAAAAATTCATGTTACATTTGATAAAGATAATGTTTAACAGTCTTTCATTCAGTAGGTCTACTTGTGACCACTGTTCAGGTTTGACATTTTCTGCACCATATTGTTTACAGATGAACAAACACGATGTCACAATAAGAGTTGTGTTTCTTATGTAATCATGATTTATGCTAAAGGCTAAATGACCGTCACTTTGATACCTCTGACAAAAAAAATAATTAGACCACTAAACTGACACGTTTATTACTTAAATATTTAGGATTCTGATCTTGAACATACCAGCCCTAAGAAAAGCCGAAAACTCATTTATATTGCGCACAAGTCATCTCGGGGCACTTTTAGACTATACTCTGATATTAAAGTCAAAGCCTTTTACTAAACATAACTTAATTGGGTTCAGTTAAGGTTTTGTCTGTGAGCCGTATGTAGTTATCTAGATATACGCTGTAGGAAAAAAAGATGCAAAACATCCTGCTCTTTCCAATAAATAGAAATTTATATCATATTGCTTACATTCAAATCACATAGTCAGGACACTGAGACAAAGCGGCTCAAAACCTCCTGGTTATGACAGGAAGGTTCGGACCGTGCCTTTGACCAGGCCTCTGCAGATTGGGCACTTTCGCAGTGATGGCGCACACTCTTTGCACACCACAAGGTGTCCACATGGGATAAATACTATGTTGACTTCTTTATCCATGCACACCTTGCAGGTACGCTCCTCCTGCAGGCGCCGCAGCTGCTCCTCCATGGGGAGGTCTGCAAGGGGAAAAAATTGATTAATTTTTCTGTCTTAAAATCCAAAATGGATTCAACGACTTCCCCTTAATGTTGGCTAAAAGCTACTGGAAGTCTCAGAAATCTCAGTATCAAGTTGACTTTAAATAGTGACAGTGACCAACTAATGACCCACAGTATCCAAACAGGTGACATCACTGTTAATCTCTACATTAAATTGCTCCACACAGTATTAATGACTATACCTGTAGTTCACAAACAAAAACAGCATTACAAAAAAAATCATGTAACAGTTTTTACATTTACACACATCATGGGACTGATTTTAAGTAAAGATTGTTGATTTATAAAAAAAGAGGTTACAAAGTTCTTCATAGTTACAACAATTAAGCACAAAACATTAAATTGGCGGGATAAGAAGTTCTGCGCGAGGCTCAGGTGTGTCTTAATACCTGAAAGATCTTGGCTTGGTGATGCAGCTTCGTTTGATTGGGCTGAAAATGAAATGAAAAACAATGTCATTAACTCAGGTTTTTGTTAATGCACAATAGAAACAATATATATACTAATATAATAAAAACATGTACTTCGCACCTCTTAAGAGCTATCTTAGCCTTAATGTTTCAAGTCCTCTCACTTTTTTATTTAAAGCTTTGACTTTAAGACTGAACAACTTCATGATAAACCCTCAGTGGTCAAAGGTTTTTTACTTGAATGTATGCAGTTTGAGCACACACCATGTTCTGTGGCAAGTGCAGTCAAAGTGTGCGGTGGGAAAGACATACCCATGAGATCTCTGAGCAGGTGGACATCGTTTTTCTGGATCCAGTTTCGGAAGACCTCAGCTGCAGCGTTTCCTTTGGTGAGCACGAGCTCTATCAGCTTGGCAGTCTGCTGCTGGGCTGACGTCTGAGCCTTGAGACCGCCGTACTCCTCTGTAGCTGCAGGTTAACAGGGAGGAAGAGTTACAGTCAAGAGGTTTCTGAAGTCTAGAGGCTACAGCTGCATGATGAGGGCTAAAATCATCAAAATATGATGGTCAGTAATTATTAAATTTGATGAGCAGCGTATAACCCTTCTACAGAACAGAACAAACTGAAATAAAATCTGCAATTCTTATTAAATATTACACCGACTGCTTGTTGAAACAACCATATACAGTTATTCCCCATTAACTGCAGCCCCAACGGGCTCAAGGGAAAACTCTTGACATTACTTCATTTAATGCAACAAACCCCAGATCCACTAATTCTGGAAATCCACATTTAGTTACCTCATTGTAGTCGCTGCATTATGAAAAATGCTCTTATTTACTAAAATGTTGAATCTTCTTAAATTTTTAGTTTTGGTCAGAAATAGTTGAGTCTCATTCCTGTACCCCCAAAGTACCCTATTTCAACTAGTGGAGTTACAAAACACTTCAAAAGACCCAGCTATTCAAGCCTGAGAGAAACTTACATAACACATTTTGCTCTCTTAAATGCTCCAACACTGGCTCAACACTCTTCAGACGTTGGATCAACGCTGCCTGGTGTCTCTTTACAAAGGTGAAGCCATCTGAAATAAAAGAGATACAAATGGAATTTATTGTCTTCAAATGTTCACTGGGCTGAGAGCAGCCGATGGTACAACATTGGAATTCAGGGCTGCTCACAACACATTGCAGAGACAACCTTTTTTTCCCTGCCAGCTGTACCTGACGCCATCGCCTCTGCCATCATCTCTCGCTCCTCTTCCCTTTTCTGATCCTCGGCACTCAGCAGGTCTGAAACCAGCTCCTGGACTGTCCTGTAGTTCTCTCCGCTGGTCAGGATCTTGCTCTGGACGGTCTGCTTGACTAGACTGCGATCAAAGCCCATCTCTAATGCGGACTTAATCACGGGGGTGTTCATCATGACAGCATCCTCAGATCGCTCCTCTCCTGGACCGAGGTGAACCACTGAGAGGAAGAGAGAGGAGACACTCAAGGCTGGGTGATGACATGAGTCTGTCCGGCACTCTTTAAACCCTTTATCTTGTTTAATTCAATTTCAGTACGCTCCATTTAGACAAGAACACAACAAAAAGTCTGGCCAACATAAGAAAGTCACAGCTCAAATAGTTTACTGTATACAGAAAACTATTTGAGAAACAGTACAATTTGTTTGTACCTCCCAATGGCCGAAAAACTTTACTTTTACATTGTTTTAAACTCACCAGGTGGATCCACAAACTCTCTGGAGCTGCCGTCTCCATTCGTTAAAAGCTTTTGGGGAGAAAAAAGAAAAATGTGCTTTTTTTTTTTTTTTTATTAAATGAATTGCTCTGTGCCAAATGTTTGAACCAAGTACTGATGTTTACTCTCACTCTCTGCTCACCTGCTCAAACAGCCGAGGGAAGCGAGCCTGGATCTGGTGAACAAACTCCTGTCCCTTCTCCTGGAGCAAGTATTCACACCTGCCATTAACCAGAGGAACATGCATGCAAACATTCATAAACTATCTTCTACACAGGTAAATAGACAATCAGAATATTTGTCTTGGCGGTCTTTCTCTACAGTACAAAGAGCTCTGGTCAACACATTCTGACATCAAATTATTATATTATTAAAAATGTAAACAGCTGGATTTACCGAGGAAACCATTTAGCATGTTCCACCCAGGGATCGTCTCCAGACTCCCAGCATCGCAGGCCTCCATCGCAGCAGAAACACTTGACATCATCGTTACGACCTTGAGGGCAAAGAAAGGGCTTTCAGTGCGACACATGGTTTTCAGGGGTTTTAGGGAAAGAAAAGTCATAAAGATGACTGAAAACAATTTGAATACACATTGGTTTCTCATCTCTCATTTCCTCTACTGCTGGAATACTTTAGTAGCAAACTGATCACAACTGAATGCTATATTTAGCATTGACATGAGATCATTGGCTCGTGTTTATAAACAGGTGTCCCTAAAGAGATTTCTATCAGGACTTTCCAGCTCAAATTTAAAGGAACTGGACAAATACCACTCTGCAGTGGACAACCCCAATCAGGGAGGGAAATACTCTTACTGTTGCATGGAAGGGACAAGAAATGACTTCAACCTTTCATCTGCACATTATGAGCAAATTCTGTTGAAGACTTTCAGGACATTTTACATAACAGCTTTAAGATTTACATTTTAGAACCAATTTTGTTTTAGAAAAGAAAATAATGACCCTCTATCCTCAAGTATTTACTATAAAAAGATAAATCTAATTAGAATTAGCTTATTTTTTAATGGGCTTCATAGAAAGTTGACCAAAATATAATTATAATGTGCATTTTAATAAAATCAAAGCTTGATTTACAACACTAACTTAAATATATTTTGATTTATTTAACCCTTATTTAACCTCCTTCTCACTGTTACTGAGTAACTGAGTTTCTTTGATATTGTCCTTACCTACGTAGTAGAAGCCAGCTTTAGCCAGCTGGTCAGGCCGGACAGGGATACGTGACGGCCAGTTGACAAAAGTGAGCAGCCGCTCGTCGCTCTGGTGCATGGCAGGGTTGGACACATTACTGAGCACTGGGGCCCCTGTGGGCAGTTGAGAAGTTACTCCTCCAGACGCAGCTCCGGCCAGCGACACGTTGTCAGCTCTGTCCCCCCTCACAAAACGACAGTTTGGATAATGCCTCTGATGTTCGGATACGGCTCTGTCACCTGGCTCCCAGTTACTCAACTGTATACACAAACAAAAACTTCTGTCACAACTTGACACACACTGTCATACCTGAATGGTTCTACCTGTCGTTTTAAGGTGGATGTATTGTAGCCTGCTGTCCACTTCTGTCAGTGAGTCATTGTATAATAAACCCTCTTTGTGTTCTCCTATCAATACCTGTTAACAAGGTTCCTAATGCAGAATAGGTCAGATATAAACAAAGCAAACAAATGTATAGTAACAGGTTAAGTTACTGATACAAAATAGTTATACCATGAACAAGAAGAGCAAAATGAACAGAGAGAAAAGAAGATAATCAATCTCCTTAAATTGATGGAAACTCTAAAATAATGCTACACACCTGTCCTCCACAGCTGAAGCAGGCCACTCGGTCGCCCTGGCCCAGGTAGTAGAAACCCGCCTTGGCGAGCTCAGCAGGAGTTATGATGGAGAGCGTCCAGGGGTGGAAGGAGTCCAGGCGGTCCTGCTCTCTGCGCATGCTGGGGTTGTGGCATGTTGGTCTCTGGTGGGACATGTCCTCTACACCACGAGAGCTAAGCGGGCTGGAGGGGGGTGGAGCAGAGAAGCCCATATTTAGGTAGCCGACTGGATCTTCACCTTGGCTTACTGTCGGGTTAGGAACGGCTGGGCCTGGACCAGAAATCTAGAAGACAAAAAAAACAATTTCATTAGGTGTTCTAACCAAGATGTAGCGGAAATGTTCTTCTATAAATTCTGTATCTTATTTTTTTTTTTCAAAGAAACTTTTGATCTTACTGGTATGGCTGGAGCAATGCGGAGTGGGGAGAAGGCAGAGTGAGAGGAGGACAGCAGATTGGCTGTAGATGGGAGGCTCTGGATGAAGGAACAGGAAGGTGAGAGCTGCCTGTGTTTCTCTGTTGGGCAGTCTCCGGCCTGCCAGCCCTCTGCGGTCACATTACACCTGAAACACTGCACGCGGTCGCCCACGCCGGTGTAGAACCAACCTGCCCTCGCCAGACTTCGCTCTGTTACTCCCGAAGGTGGGAATCGGGCAAATGTAGAGATGCGGAAGAGCTCTGGGGATGAAAACGACACATTTCCTTAGATTAGAACACATCAGGAGGTTAGACACGAAAAGAAATGTGAACAAATCTTAATTATATATCTGATGAAGTGGAAAGAACAAGAGAGATTGGTACCTGAGGTGTTATCATACTGAAGGTCAGGTGGAGGGCCGCTGCGACACAACCCCATCAGAAATTGGTTGTTTTTGAGTTGAACAAGAGTTTCCATTTTTGTATTTAAGTGGAGCACTTTAAGGCAAAAGAGATGTCCTTCAAAGGGAGAGAGGTTTGAGAAAACCCAAGGTCGTGTTCTCTCTCACACAGACACATTCACTCACACTGAGACAGAAAATAGTGAAATAGACGATCGGGGACTGGGGGGGTTCTTACTCAAATCAAAAGACAAGAGAGAGAAAAAGAAAGTGATGATTGGCTAAGTTTTGAAACCAAGAGAGTGCAGAAAAAAAACCTACTAGTCCAGCAACCACTATCATCACACAATATTGGATACAATCTGCACGAGGTATCTGACACATTTGTCATTTATTTTCGTCAAACATCCTATTCCCTGCATATAACCTGCACCTGGATCAATTTTACCTGTACCTTGTAGAGTAACCTCTGAAACTTCAATATTTCCTTTTCAGTTACAGTCCCAGGGGATATATGTCCCAACAAAACACATCCTGTACAGTAAAAAAGGATGAACTTAACGGCGTAATTAAAATGCATCCTCAAATCAATAATCATTATGTTACACTGTGGTCTGATCACCCAGGATCAGTATACACTTGATCATCTTGTACATTTAGCACAGACATGTCTAATACATGATCTAACCATACCAATTTTAACATACGGTATGTGATTATGTGTATGTACATTTTAAATTAAACAAATGCCTCGAGCACACACACACACACACACACACACACACACACACACACACAGACCAAGGGATACGTGCTCTCAAACCCCTCCCCCCATCTCGAACATCCCTTTTGTAGGAGTCTAAGTGTTCATGATTGAATAGTAAAAACCCAATAAGAAAAATGTTATCCTCCTTTGGTAAGGATAATGCACACCCCTCTTTAGTTTAATGATAGCAGGACCTGTGGAAAGAAAGAAACAATGTTGATTTATGTTCATGTAGAAATCCTTCATGGAGGATTTTAACCTCTTTAAGCCACCGTCTGTATATGTTCCAATTTCGCTATTAAGTCAAGTTCATGATTACAATCAGCAATGTTCAAATCTATACAACTTAATTTATTCCAACCAAGAATGATAAATATATAAAGACCCGGAAAAGATTCCAGGATGTGAGTTTTTCTCTGAAGATAAATGTCTTAAGGTTTTAACACAGTGCCAAAACAAAAAGACAGAGAATTTGTTTTGCTATTAAATAAAATCTAACTTCAATGCAGAATATGTTAACATAATTAAAGTGATATTATTGGAAAGAGGATCATTTTGCAATCATTCACTGTTTAATTATTACAGTTCATACTTCAACAAACAACTTACTGTTCATACCAGTAAAAATATTTTTTTCTAGTATTAAAATATTGATTATATTCAAGTAGTGAAAAATGGTCTTCACAATTTCCCGGAGTCCACAAAGTTGCTTGTTTTGTCTCACAAACAGTTCAAAAGCTAAGCCTATATACACTAAATCTATCATTAACGCAAGCATTAATGTGTTTATAATAATAATAATAAGTTACCTGGTGAATGCCCACTTCTTTCAAACTTTATGCAAACTGTTTTTAATGCAAATCTCCCCGATGACCATCAGGGTTATTTGCTAAGACTTCATAAAACTTTTCCAGAAAGACAGACAACATCATAGACCTATTTTCACAGGCTAACTAATGACAGTAACGTTACGTTAACTTATTCCTCTTAACAAGTAAACTGACTTTTATGAGGAAAATCGCCGCTTTAACAAAACTCCCAATCAAGTTGATCTTAGTTAAACCTTTCGGGACTAAAGATGGTAAACACATGACCAGCTAGTGAATTAAACATCTTTCAGCGGAAAAACAGCTAATATGTTATAAATCACTGGCACTGTTTCCCCGACAGTGAAGGTACTTTCCTGTTCTACCAGGGACTTCCTGTTTTAGCTCTTATTGTGTTCATGAGCTAACGTTAGCTATGTCGTTTTATATTTATAAGTGAACAGTATTGATTTTAAATTGGTTTCAGCTGTCAAGCATTCAATAAAACACACAGCTAGCTAGAAATCGCCGACTGACATGACAATCAACACCCCACAGAAACCAGTTGATCAGAGGACATTAGCTTGCTAGTGCAAGCAAGCCTGCTAAAGCTAATAACTGTCGAGCTCGCTGATCTGTGAGGCAGCCCGGAGACAATATATTAGCTGTCTAGTATGAGTAAACAAACATGCGAGACATTACATGAAGGCAGCACAGCAACTTATCCTTTCCACTGGTGTGTGACACACTCACTGTTTCACTATTCAGTCGGTAACGTTACGGAAAGTCCCAGTATCCTGGAAGCCTCTCGTCAGGGACACACCGCCGCCCCTGCTGCTTCCGGTTATCACTGAAACGAAAACATCGCAGAAACATTGACACACAGGTTAGAAATCCCTCAGGTAAGTCCCTCGGGTATTCTCAGTCCCTGTCCTGGAGTCTTAGAGCCCTGCTGGTTACTGGTTTATATAAGTCAGAATCAGCAGGTTAGGTGGCTTTAATACTTTTGTTATTGCATCATTTAACGTTACTGGGAAACTAAGTCAGGAGGTAAAAAACAAAAACTGCAAACACAACTCGGAAGCTATCTTTATGAATAGAAAAAGAAGACCAACAGTAAACCACCTTATTGTGGACCTGTCTAACTTTAAATTTAATGAACAAGAGTGTGTTTTTTATAACGAAACATGTGTTACGATCTTCATTATATATATCTACGTTATATTCAGGTATTCAGATTTGTCTTCTGTGAGCAACGAATTAACGTTATCTTGTTACCAAACGTCCACATCGATAAGAATAAAGGAAAACCTCAATTTGTTGTGTTAAATCACATTAAACAACTCCAGCAAACTACACAAAGCTGTAAAACTGCAATTTGTGTGTTTAAACACAGATGATCAGATTATAATTGCATACAAATATTACCCTAACACACGTGTATAGCCTACCTGTATTCGAGGGCACCAATGTTAAATGAAAATAAGATGTAAATAGATATTGTCAATGTAATACAAACAGAGCCACTGATAATAAACTACATATGAAATTCTCTTAACTATTGAAACAACAGTAATATTCTGTCAAAAATGACTTTTTTTAAGATTAATAAAGTTAAAAAAAAACGATACAAGGAATAGTCTAACAAGACAAGACACTTACATAGGACTTGTTGAAGTCGGACCCCGAGTCATGTGAAGGCATTATTTCAATGGCTTAGTTAAGTATCTGGTATTTTCTGGTATTTCCCCTAACTTCCTTTGTCATAACCACTCCCCTTTATCATGTGTCAACTGAGAGTGCCGAGTTCATTTTACTGACCTTTTCCAGCTATTGATGATTGATTGTATCCACCCATTTTATGTAAAGTACCTGTAACTTTTTTCTAAAAAGTACCCTTTTCCCCTCAAGGGTGGAGTTCAGGTCATTCATGAGTACTCAAAAACTAAGCTTTTAGGCTTGACTTTAGTTCATTTTATTGTTACAAAGAGAGACACTCCATCTCCTGGAAACACCTAGAGCCTAAAATGTTGTTCAAGGGCTGATCTACAAGCTTTCAAATGTATAATGAAATATGTATACCAGTACATGTGATTGTGTGATAATTATGTTGAGGTTAGTACTACATCCAATCCACTAAATTAAATTAAGTAATTTCTTCATTGGTTTGATTTAGTATTCGCATATACCAAAAAAACATTTTATAACAGTATACTTAAACTACAGTATGATAGTATGTATGCTGCAGTATGCAACCTAACATACTACATTTACAACACAAATCTGGAGTTAAATTAACATGTTAGGCTAATAGAAATACAAACACATCCAGTAAAGGCATCGAGGTTTAGTTTTACAGTCATACCATGAAACAATCCACACCAGACACATAACTAGAAATTACTACTTGCCAGGTGTATTTAAACGTTTATTAAACACAAACTCCTTTAAAATGATTACAGTAAGAATAATAAGAAATATATTTATATAAAGCACATGCATAAAAACGTACAAAACACATGATTGCCTCCAAACTCTCTGTAAATAGGATAATAAACATCATTATATGTAACATTCATAGCAAGTGTCATGCATGCTAAGATAAATAATAGGCTAGGTAGTGTGTTGCATTATGTGTATGAACAGTATGTCGCGCTACTTTACGGTACTTTAATTTAAAAAAAGATTAGGTGACTTGGCTCTATTTGGGGATGTTGTGAATGAACTGTGTATATAAAAAGGAAGCTGGTTAGAAGAAATGCTCTCATCAATAATAAAATAACAGCTTCAAAATTCAGAAAAAATATGAAACGCACTGCAGAAACAACAACTGGATAAAAAAAAACAGATTATATACTTATTATATAGCTTAACTAAATAATCAGAATAAAGAGCTCCGCTTAGTGACGACTGCCTTCTGTATTAGATCCTGTAATAGCACTTGCAGTTAGAACTAAACAGACCAGGAACACAGCATCTGCAATTAGT